AAAACGACGATAGAAATTTGCGAAACCCAAGAAGGACTGAATGTCCTTAACCTTCCCCGGGACCGGCCACTCTAGAACTGTCTGAACTTTCTCCTTGGACATAGTCAATCCGTCGGGAGAAAGAATATAACCCAAATACTCAACAGTATCCATATTGAACTCGCACTTCTCGGGATTGGCGTAAAGCCGATGATGGCGAAGCCGCCGGAGAACTTCCTTGACGTGTTCTTGGTGTTCTTCTGGCGTATCAGAGTAGATCAGAATATCGTCCAAATAGACGATGACACAAACATCGAGCATGTCAGAGAAGATGTCATTAACAAACCGCTGGAAAGCCGCAGGGGCGTTCGTAAGGCCGAACGGCATGACCTTCCATTCGTAAGAGCCGTAGCGGGTCCGAAAGGTGGTTTTCCATTCATCACCTTCAGCGATTCTGACTAGATGATAAGCGTGAGCGAGATCCAATTTGGTGTATATTTTAGCTCTTTTCGGAGCGTCGAGGAGATCTGATATGAGTGGGAGTGGGTAACGATCCTTTTTGGTGATACGATTGAGTCCACGGAAGTCGACGCAAAGGCGAAGTTTGCCGTCTTTCTTCGGGACAAAAAGGACCGGAGCGCCGTGAGGAGAGGATGATGGGGTGATGGCACCAGTAGCCAGCTGTTTGTCAATAAAGTCTTTAAGGGCGACTAGCTCCTTTTCAGACAAAGGGTAAATACGGCCGAGAGGCGGCGAAGCGCCCTCTTCCAAGTCAATCTTCAAGTCGTAAGGTCTATGTTCAGGGAGTGAATCTGCAGCAATCTCGTCGAAGACGTCTGCAAACTCTGCGTACTCTTCTGGGATAGAAGGATGGAGTGGAGGAAGAGCGGCCGGCGGCGCGGGCCGCGACCTCTGAGTGGATAGCACGAAGTAAAATAGGTTCCATACCAGCGTCCTTGCAAGCCCTGTTAAAGACTGCAGCACTAACGAGTGCAATGTCGACCTCGGGAGTTTCCAGTTGAGCAGCGAATTGAGAGACCGTAGGGTAAGAATAGATGGGTTCAAAGGGGAATTTGGACGAAAGGGGCTTGGCCCGTGAAGTCCGAGAGCGGCAGCGAGAGCGAGAGCGAGGTGAGTCCCCAGGAGGGGTCTCCTGAATTGTCGGTGAAACCGACGGCGAAAGTTCCGGTAGCGGAACAGCGACCTTTGCATCAACGGGGTTGATGGCAGAAGGCACAGACGTCTGTGGAGAATCAAGGTGTGAAGTGTTACGGAACGTAATGTTTCGAGATGCCCAGTCAATCAACGGATTGTAGCGGGATAAGAAACTGTAACCTAGTACTGCTTTACAAGATGAATCTAAATGAGTAACATAAAAGGGTAATAGAAGCAGCTCGCCAGAAGGGAACCGAACGGCGATATTCGCCATATCGGTAATGGGTTTAGAAGGTAATGAACCATCAAAAAGACGAAGATTAACAGGAGAAATTTTGGTCGTAGGAATAGAGTTCTGAGAAACATAACGAGTATCGATGAAAGAGTCAGTAGAACCAGAATCAACAAGAGTAGGAAATTTGAGAAGAGCAGAGATGGGCTCGGCCGGCGCGGCCGAATCGGATAAAGGAAATTCAGTAGTCAATGATATTACAAGAGATTGTTCAATAGAAGAAAGAGCGGACGCGTTGAGATATAACTCCCCAGGTGAGGTACGAACCTGATCAACGCAGCTCCCGTTTCGTACCGGGGAACAAGAGCTGCGGACTAGTTTTCCAATTCCTCTTCAACAACCTCAACGGTTGCTTCGGGGGTTTCTTCAACCTCGGCAGCACGGCCCTTCGATTCTCGGGCCTTTCGCTTATTGCAGTCAGCAATCTGATGCTTACCACCGCAGAAGAGACAAAGGTTGTTCTTCATCCTTCTTTCCTTCTCGGAGGGAAGAACTTTCCCATCTGCACCAAGATGGTTGAACGCGGGGCGCTGACCGCCGGATTGGCCGGAATTCGAAGAATTCTGGGGCTTACCATTGTTGTTAGGCTTACCACCAGAGAAGGGTTTAGGCTTCGGCGTGAACGGCGCCGTAGAGCCAGAAGGCTGAGAATTGTTATGCTGGTTAGCAGAACCAGTCTTGAAGTCCGAGGAACCCTTCTTTGGGTTCCGAGCAACAAAAGGCTTACCAGCCTCACGCTTTCTAGTTTCCTTGCGTTTCCAATAACGATTGTCAATACGAAGAACTTCTTGACGATAATCGGCGAGCGTCGCCGGCTCAGGCAAACGCGCCATTTCGTCCTTAATGCGTTCAGCTAGGCCTCGTCCATAAGCCCATTTCAGGGCAGCAGAATCCCAGTTGGTACTAGCAGCCAGGGTGTTGAACCGGATGTTGTATTTCCGGATGTTCTCGGTTTCCTTCATCTTCAGATTACCGAGAGAATCTTCGGCCTCGCCTTGGGCGTCGTAAACGCCGAAATTATCCTGAAGCTCCTTTACAAGGGCTTTGAAGGAGGATGTCCAGGCCGGCAGCGAGTCGAGATCCGGGTCGAGAATATCAGGGACAAACCATTCTTTGGCTGACCCACTGAGATAGGAAAGGGTATAGTTCACCTTCCGTTGGTCGGTGAAGTACTTTGGATGGTCATTGAAGACCAGGGCGAGATTGACGAAGAACGTCTTGAGTTTTCGGAGATCCGAACCGTCGAATACCTCTGGCTCCTTGACCTTGCTCTTGGATTCAGAGCTGTCAGAGGGGCGGCCGAGAGCGGCGAGGACGGTACCAAGGGTCTCAATGGAGCCCTTGAACCCCGAGAGGAGTTCCAACATAGCACGTTGCTCGTTGGGGATGTCAGGAGATATGGGAGTACGAGGTCCACCAGGTCCACCAGGACCGCCGGGACCGCCGGGACCACCAGGACCACCAGGACCACTGGGGTCACCAGGTTCACCACGCGGTAAACCGCCGGAGTCGTCATCCAGATCGTCATGATTGTTGTCGGCGCCCGGATCGTTGGGGTCGACAGGAGGGTCTTGATCATCGTGATCACCGGTGTCCAAATCGAAGTGAGGAGGTGGGTCACGAGGAGATTCAGAAGCAGCACGACGTTGGGGTTGTTTCCCCGTACGGCAGGCTATGGCTTGGAGAATTGGAGAATCAATTCGAGTAGTTGAGCGGCCCCGAGCCGGAGCGACCACGGGGGGTTGTCCACGGCGAGGGGTCAGGACTTGGACAGGTTGCCCGTCACCAGTGTACAAGGTGCTGTACTCAAATTGTTGTTCTTCTTCCATGGCTTCAGGAAGAGTCGACGTAGTAGGAACTGTGGCTGGACCGAAACCGCGATTACGGCGACGTGGTTGACCAATGGCAGAGATAGAGTCGGAAAATGGGGCAAATGATTGGGCTGTAGTGAAGAAAGTATTTTCTTCGGAGTTAGCTCTAGATTGAGCTCGAGTTTTCGGAGGCATAAAAAATGATATGTCAGTACGACGTTAACGGATTGAGTTTAATTATACTGTTAAGATCATGTACACCGTGGAACCGTGCCAAGGCCACAAGGTGTCTAAGTGCGGAAGACGAGTGGGACAGTAGTGAAGTTATTAACAACACCGCCGTTACGCCGTTAGTCCCCGGAGAGCGAGAGTAGAGAGGGAGGAGCTAAGTAGCAGCCAGGTCGGAGCGGCGGTATCGCCGATGACGAGGAGCGAACCAGAGGACGTCTAAGTCCTAGGGTTATAGTAGAGAGTACTCCAAGGCGTTGAGCCTGAAGACTTAGAGAAGAGTTGAGTTGAGAAGGGAGATCTAAGTTGATAATTAAACTGAGGAACCACAGTAGCGTACAGGCAGTATTTATATCTACGGAACGGCGCATCGGTGCGGAGCGCCAGACTAACTACTAGGAGCTATACGAGTAGTACCTGCAGGGTAGAGTAAAAGACAATAAGGAGAGACTAGAACGAAAGAGTAAAAGACAATAATGAGAGACTAGAACGAAAGGATATGTGTAGCGAGAAAGAACAATAGGAAGAGATTACAATAAGAGCAGATCTTCGGAATACCGAGCGGCGGAATGGAGGCCCGCGGCATGGACTTGACAGGGTCGAATCTCTCTTGAAGGACCCCAGTTCGGTTTCACGCGAGGCGCTGCACCCCGTTTCCGTGTGGATAATAACGACAAGAGTTCGAAGAGCAGATACGTTGTTGGGCTACCTGCTAACTTCTACGATGCGGAATGGCTCGAGAAGCAGGAGCCTGGCTGGGCAAAAGGTGGGACAGGATTTGTCAATGAGATGGTCCGCCCTGGTGCACCTAAGAAATTAGTTTTCCCCGCGGATCTTGCCAGGTGCGTATGATTTCTCAGAACCTCACATTTTATCTGATGGTCTCCCTCAAAGAACTTTGGAACAGAGGAAGTTTCCAGGCGTAAGCACAAGATAGATTGCATTCAAGTTGTATTGTATAGCACAGGTGGTTAGATATAACTGGCGCAATGGCAGAATGAAAGCATCGGTAGTGCACCGTGTCGAACGAAAGCAGTGGAGTGAAATAGATCGGAGACATAGGCCCAACATAGTCCTTAGTAACTAGAACGAACGAGAATACATGGATACGGACTTTCGATATGCATAAATGAGCTGAGTGACATCGGCTAGGTTTCGGTACCGTAGAGTATGATTGACGCCCTGTAGTGCTTCGCTCATTCTCAATCGCAATCGCAACTCATCACCATTTTTATAGAGGAATTACCAGCACGACCTTGCGGAGACGGAAGAAAATAGATATCCTCGGCGTATCAATTTATCCAGGTGAGTATACCCTGTAATGCATTTTTGGTACTCACGATTCACGAATATCTAGTGTACTACGAGCGCAATCGCAATGGATGCCAAAAGAACCGAAATCGTACAGGCAAAAACAGGCGCAGACGGTACTCATAGTCTTCAATCCTTCATGTTGATTTGCGGAAAATCTAACTACGAACGCAGTCTGTTCTAGCACTGTGGTATTTCGATCGATTGATAACAGGAAGTTTGTCATGCTCAAAGAGGAACTCAGTGTTGCTGCTGGTGGATTTCCCCCTGCTATTCTTTCCAGCGAAGCGGACGCGCATGTTTCCGAACCCTCTGATGTCCTGAAGGTTCTATTTCAATATGTTGCAGCAGACACCGACCATGATGATCCAACCCTGGAGCACATCGATTTCTTCTTACTGCTGAGAGTGGCTGCAGCGGCAGAAAAATATGAAGTATACCAGGCAATTGCTGCCATGCGACTAGAATTCAGGTAACCTTGGTTAACTCGTATTCTCCTTGATTGAAATTCATTTCGCTTGACTTAGGAAATTCTTCCACAGTCACTCCAGACAAATCTTCCACTTTGCTTTAGCTAGTTGGGACATGTCTTTGATTGAGGAACTCTCTGCTTACACAGCGAACATACCTATGGAGGAGGTAGCTTTTCTAATGAGGCCGTGTCCTCGCATGTTTAAAAGATGGGTATGTCTGATGACATTCGATTGACACGAATATTAACGATACCGTAACAGTGCTTATGGAGACATTACCACCTTGGAACATTATTCAAAACTCCGGCTGACAGCTCGAGAGAGGGAAAGATCATCGATAATCAAAGACGTTGGCAAGCTTACCGAGCCCTGGGGCACTTTCACTTTGTTTCGGACATGGATCCACTGAACGGCTCGTTCTTGGGCTTGACGAGACATGTTGGGCTGTTCGTATAACCTTTGACTGAAACACCTGGTCATATATATCTCTGCGAAAGAAAATTGTTAGATAACAACAGATTTTTATCAAATCATGCCCTATATCTTTCCGGAAATCAATCGATTAGTTTCTCAGTTGACAATGAACGACCATCTGAGGCGTCAAGCGTTTCTGATGCGCCTCCGAATCATTTCTTCAGAGTGGGAGGATCGGTTTGCTGATCTTTTCCTTCCTCGCTTCCCAGAGGAAACGAGCTCCCACTACCAGGAAAGGCTTGCATATGGCAAGGAGATATTCTTACATCCAATAATTGAAGGTCTGGAAAAGATTGTGGGGGACAAGGGCGTACGAGCAACTGGCTTCAGACTCTCTTCCATTTCATTCGGTGCAATCGAGAGCCTCCTCGTGGAGGAATATATATGGAGGATGATCATCCATGGCGTGACGGGTGCACTCGTGGAGTCGCCTTGCCATTTTGACCTCGATAACCCCACCAACGATGAGGATATAATCGATCGCCTCCAAAGGTATTATGAAGAGCATAAATTTATCCGTGAGTCTCATTCCCTTCCTACCTTCAAATTCAGACACTCCTTGCTTATTTTTCATTAGCTCCTTCTGAGAGAGAGGAAGGTCTGCCGGAGATCTTGAAGGAAGAGGGAATCGATACCGATTCTTGGATTGCAAAAGCTACCCCATATAATGCTCTTATACCAGCTGCCATATCCTTCAAAATGTCTCGCCCTCCCATCGTCTCTCCGGAGATGATCACGTCTTACAAGAATGCAATCCGCAGTGAGCGCAAGCAATTCAAGCAAGGATTTTATCCTGATCTTTGGTACAACCTTTCTGTCTATGAAAAGGGCGGTTCTTTAGTGACAGATCAGCTTATTGACGAGGAGTCTGTTTCCATTCCCGATTCAATTTTTTGATTATTTAGTACAAACTTCAGCTGTATCTGACAATGTAATCTAGAGCATATGTTGGAAAATGTTTCAAGAAATGTGATGTTGCGGGTTCAATATAGATACCAGAAATAAGTTGTAGCAATACCGATGGAGAACATATAATCTATAACGTCGTTTGTAATAACTCTTGTGCTTCTTTTAAATTGCTGGAAAGTTTGGAAATGCGTGAACTACTCCAAGGAAGGTTCGCAACTCGGCTTGAGACCAGTTCAGCTTCATCGTCATTCGTATCTTCAAATTTCAACTGTTCCAATAGCTATACGGGAAGATGTGATTAAACTTGTGTGGAATCGGTGTTAATTTATGACCCACCTCCATGTGCTTAAGGGCGACACTGTCTCTGTGTAGAGTTACTGTCTAGGATGAAGAAGTGAGAGGTGTGCTTGACAAAGACGAGCATACTCAGCATACCATGATATATTGTCGCCTGATTTCAAACATATGCTGTGAACGTGCCTCCACCGGATTATCCATGACTACAGGATGTGGCAATTTGAACGATGCGTCAGCACCGGTGAAAGGGGCGGGATGATCAGGTAAAGACGATAGTGGAGTTTTGGGCTTGGCAAGCGTTAGGCATTGAGAATTGTGACCATTGGAAAAGCTCTTTACCAAGCTCGAGTCCAAATTATTGACCATCGCGTGTACAGGGATAGATTATTCGGTAGTCTGGCTTTTGAGGCCAGGAGCTGTCAGGCTGTTAGGTCTTTAGGAGGGAGTATCGGTTCGAGGCTTCGAGCGTAGGTAATCGAACGACTCAACGTGAACCTTTCTGCGAAGTCCAGTATCCAGCAAAGATTTGGAAAGGAGAGAGGCAATATACGAGTTGTACTCGATACTGACTCGATACCTGCGGGAGATCGATCAAGTAGTTAGGTTCAAAGGAAGATAGATAGGTGAGTCACGGAAAGAAGACATCATTAATAGGAAGACATACACGTGACAGCATCTGTCTTCTTCTTGTACTACGTCCTGCAGAGTCAAACTCTGCTCGAACGCAATTTACATACCTCTGCACGGGCCAAAATTATCGACCCTTACGACCGAAGGTCATCGGAACCTCGACTCCGAGCTTTTCATGACGGTTACAACGTATTCACCACCCTATGCATAGAATCAAGCTTTGAGGATTTTTCACTGTCGACTGTGTTGTCACTCGAACGGCTCAACTTTCTACAACCTCTCAACGCCCGGCGGGTCTCATAAGAAGGGCAAGTTCACACAACGATGGCATGATGGCACATGCGAGATGTCGAGAATGAGAGGTAGAGTACATAAAAAGTTGCTCAATGTGATTCTCACTGAAATGCAGTACTTGGAGAAGAATGACTACTTGGGATCTGGTTGGAACAAAGTGCGTTTCATCCTATCTAAGTTTCAGCTTTCTCTAATAGTGTCACTTCATCGTTAGGGCCGTACCAATAAAGCTAATCAGCATCGTCTACCACATTCTATAGACACAGAATCAGAGTTTTATCGGTTATTATGCTGCGATAAACGTGCGTTGTTGACAATACAACGGTCATACATTACATCCTAACTTTCACTCTCAGGATTCAAACAGAACAAAATTGCGTGTAGAAATATCCCGTCATGTATATATGGTTTCTTCTCTAAGCCGGGAGAGTCTGCTTTGACCTCCTATCAACTTATGTATCATTAATCTATGTGTAAATTGACTCAAGTTTTCAACAGGATTTCTGTAACGCTCTCTACCAACTTGCGGCACACCCCAGAGCTGGTCGTGCCTCTTCGAGAAGATGTCTCTTTCTTGTACGCACAGGTCTGCTCGACCGACGTACATCTGCAAGTCTTTTTTAGCCACACGAAGACCTCTTGTCGCTTGCACTGCGAGCAGGATGTAGACGGTTCCTGCGGCGAAAACAATCTGAACGGGAGCTACAGGGACATAACGAACTGTATAGAGGCAACAATATATCCCAAGAAGGTCCATAATGTTATCGGCTGCACGCCTGCAGAGCTGTATATAAAGCCTGAGTAAGGTCATCAAGGCACATTGAGCAATTACCCTCCTACGATGGACAAACGGCCAATATAAAAGATAAAGGTCCACCAGAATGATAAGTTCCGCATGAGCTTATGAGGTGTAGAAGTATTCTTGTTCACTTGCGTGATGTCAATCCCGGAAGGCGATTCTTTCCACACATGCAGCTGAAGACTGGAAGAAAGAGTCAGAAAGTAGACCAGCAGTAGGTTACCAGCCAAGACAACATACTCAATACTGCTGATCTGTTCATCCTTGACCTCCCGCCGATAACTGGATACATGGAGGGTGTTTCTAATTACTATGGTGTTCACTCTTATTACAATATGACCCGTGCTCATAATGTCTTCAGACGCCTTATGAGAAGTAAATTCATTCAAAGGACAATCTCAATCACCCTTGTCTTTCTTCACGAGATTGTTGGTGATTTTTTGAAAATCTGATCCCATTGGATAGCACTGCTATAGAACATGTCACAACTCTCGCGCTTCCGAAACCTAACCCTTCATCCTCTCTAGTCCCTCACAGAACAACTCACCTATACCTCGTTACTGCACGCTGTCATCGTCGTACCGCTCCCGCTTGTCTACAGGGCATCAACGAGGGAACTTTTGGTTTTAAACCGTTCGCTGGCTTTTTCCTTCACGGCCGACTCGAGCACCCATTCAACCCACTCTTACGCGCCTCGCCTTCCCCTCGATAGCAACGCATCTTCTTACACTTGAACGTCGGGAGTTTTCAGCAGCCAGACTTTAACAACGTCTGCTCTGGATGCGTGTATTGGTATGTCTTTTCTTCTTCACGCTCTTTCTGTCCGTCTCTAACCTCACGCTTTACCTTCCGTCTCATCCTGACGCGTTTGCTTGCAGCTCTTTCCCTTCAAAAACCAGGATCTTTTTACTACCACCCAGACGCTAACCTCGACGTCCCTCCTTTCCCATTCATCCTCCTCCCAGTACCTATGCGTCGATCTTCTGAGGAGCTACAACAGTGTTACAGTATGCGAGAGATCCGGGCTATTTCAAATGCTGATGGTCCTGGATATCTCTACGCCTACGTCGATGGTAGTATTTGGAAGGTGGGGATGTCCAATGACTTTGTCCGTCGTCAGAAGGAGTGGGATAAGGACTGTCCTTGCCCCTGGAGAATATGGTTTCCGCCTATCCGGGTCGCGAACAGACGGAGAGTGGGTGAGTTTTCTGACTGTTGCTTTCTGTACCTCTTATTGGTCTCTTCTAGAATCATTAGTACATCTTCTGCTTGAAATGCAATGTCTTGACCGCCTGCGAATCTATTGTCCAAACTGTACGTAGCTTCACTTTAATTTCTGTTTATAGTTCTACATATCTAAAATCTAGGCCAACGAGTGCATTTCGAAAAATTCCTGTTCTCTGAACCCTGGCACATCGTCTGGAGTACGATTGTGTATCCTATTTTTTTGAGGGCTGCTATGTCATGAAGGTACGTGATTGTCCACTTTCTAAAGTATTTTGGCTGACATTTCGATAGTTCAAGTAGATCATATCTCAATACTTTCAATCTTGTCATTCTTGTCATTGATCTTGAATCAGTACTATTTGGATTGTAACATGTACAATACACAGACTAAAAGATGGGTGTCTGTGGCCTTTGGTGCTAAACGAGTCAATACTTATTGGTTACTCTATAGTTATCTAGACAAGAACCGGCGGAACAGGTCCTCAACGTAACGAATACTCAAATGCACAAAGACACTCAGGCACTTCCTCAAGCACTCCAAGGTCCCCAAAACATTTCAAGATCCTCCATTAACATCCCTGTATATTTTCACTAGATGTATCGATAAAATGAAAAGTTGTTCCCCATGTTTCAATACCGACATCCCCAACATCAGCGTTGCCACGCGTTCCGACATCCCAACATCAGGCATGTTCCGACGTTTCGATGTGTCGACCTCGGTCACGTCTGAACGTTCGGACGTCCCGACATCGGGTACGCATAAGCTCTGCGAGGTTTCTCAAAAGAACCTCGCCATTTACATGAGGCGGTTACTTGTATGATATTTTAATTTCCCTTAGTGAGAATTTTGAGCTACTATTTAATACAACCTCCAAATATCACCTCCATTTGCCCTATTGGGATAAGTTCAATAACATACGAGTAATCGAGGCCAAAACATTATGCATAATCAGTGCGAGTTTTGAGTTAATTTCCTCATAAATGTTTATTGTAGAATATTCTCAAGAATCGCTCAATACTAATTCTATAAAATGCATCCATTTATGGAAGGATTATTTGAATTTTTCGCTGGTTGAAAATTGAGATGTTTACGTACCAAACCTCCCTATAAACACAACCTTTCCTCGACGAGGAAACGGATCGATCCCCGCAGTGTCTCCACGATGTCTGAAAGTCCCTATGAAGTGTGTACATGTCGATTTTCGTTATTGTGAGTCTACTTCACCCTGTTTTTCCCTCAAATGAAGAATTTTGACATACACTCACTAGCTATCTGTGGAGCTACCTTCATAGCGGAAGAATTCAAACTGTGGAGTTTAACTGCTCCAATGGTTTTGTCTGTTGTAAGAGAGATTTGTTGTTGCCGGTACAAATATCTAAACCATGCTCCGACAGTCAGACGACCTATTCCAATCCAATGGACAAGTTTCTTCTTGCGCCAAATATGCACTTTCTCGAGCTCTAGAACACACGTCATCAGCCACCATAATCGTAACAAACTTCAAGGAGATCGCCATTTTTTTCCCTCCCGCACGAAACCGCCCTGAGCCTACTTTCGAAAGGATAACAACGACTCAACCCTCTCTGTCGCTCAGGGTCCTTGCCACCGCGTATCTACTCGACGCTCTTCCTGCTGGGGTTTTTATAGACGTTCCTCGACCAGATATGGAGATTGATGAGGACGTTGTCCTTCCACAGGGACCTCCGCAAGACCCACGTCAACCTCAACTTAGAGATGAGGAGGTTTTTGCTACTCATCACCGTCATTCTGACTTCGATATGGCAACACTAGTTCGAGATCGCGCAAGAGCGCTTCAGTTCTTCCGTTGGCATGAACACGTGTCAAACTTTTCTAAACTCGTTGCTCACCCCAATGACACGCTTACTGCTAAGACGAATGAAGTCGGGCAGTTCGTTCCAGATAATCGTCCCATCTATCCCTTTGACGCCTCTGAAATTCCATCAGATACAGCGGCACATCTCATTGCAACACAACGTGAATCGCCTCTTGTGACTGCTGGAGTCGCTGAATTGTTCAAGCGGGGCAGATCCTTCTTGCTCAAGATCTAAGATGTTGTGTCAAAAGGTTCAGAGCGCGGGATCTGCACCGTGTATCGATGTCAAATCACCTCCATCGACAATGATCCCGTGATAAGTTATTTGAGTGTCCTCGTATATATCCTAGATAATATCATTTGTAGGTAAGGTCGGTATCAATATAGAAAGGTTTTGCCTGGGGGCGAAGCCCCGCGCTCCCACCCATATATGAGGAGAGGGCTAGATACCCAAACAGAGCCAAGGCTCCTTCCCAGCGCACTCCGAATAAGGTGAAGCTGTACCCCATTTAGAGCTGAGGCTTTATAATATAGATATAAGTTGACTGTTGAGTATACATGGCATTATGCATCACAAATAAAGACCGGCGAGACTATAACAAACCCATAAGAATGGCATGACACCCAAAAGCATAAAATTGGCATAACACCCGAAATCGTAAGGAGGCATAACACCCGAATAATAAAGAGGCATAACACCCAAAATAATAACAGGCATAACACCCAAAATAATAATAGGCATAACACCCTATAATAACAGAGCATAAAACTCGATGTCCAAAAATAATATAAGGCGGTCTTGCAAATCGTTGCAGCGATATTATTCGGCAATATCTTGATTCACTACCTGGGTATTAGTGACACTGGTGTGGTCAGGTGTGATGGTGTTTTCCGACAGTGGTGGCATATCCCCGATCGGAGAACCCTGGTATGGAGGAGATGTGTCTGAGGTCGTGTTGGATTGGAATGGGTAGGAATACCACAATGACCCGCCGCGAGCTTTTGCCATAGTATCCTCAAACTCAACTTGACTCTCTACCTTAGTCCATTCCGAGTCATACACACTCTGGATAAAACCTGTGAATTCGAGGTATTGTTCGTTTCTGATTCAGAGTTCCGCTGGCTTCCAGAAGGCATAGAGTTTGGCTGTATGACGTTTGTTAAGGAAGAATGAGAAGTGCTGGATAATGAATTGTGCTCGTGTACCAGCTGGACCTGCTGGGTCGCGACTCGTCTCGAATCTCATGTAGTTGTTGACACACTCGACGAAAAGAATGTAGTCGAGGCCTTCCAGTTGATCATTGTCTGCGTATTTGATCCTGAGCATTTTCTTCAGAGCTTCGATGTCGATGAAATAACCACTCTTCCTGGGATCATTTGACTTGAATTTTTTATGCGGAAGTGAGTGGGCGCGGGCGGAAATGAACTGTAGAGCGTTGTTACTGAAGAAAGGGAGAGGGATTGGGGAGACGTGTGCGATTTCGTATAATGCATCGTGGAAACTTGCTTGGAAAGGAACGAGCGGATTCTTCACCACGGGGACCAAAGGTTCAGCCAATCTTCTCTTCTTCTTCTTCTCCTCCTCAGCTTCTCTGCTAGTATCCTCCTCTCTCTCCCTCTTATCTTTGACCTGAATCTTCCGACTCTCCATCCATTCCAGGATGAAATCCGGAATCAGGTGCTTCAAGGAGTCAAAACGAATTGGGTTTGTACGAATCTTCTCCCATTCCTCCAGCTGGATGGTGAGTTCTGAAGTGACTGGCGATGGTGACCTGATGTTCTCCGGATCCCTGAGATGCGCTGCTTGCTGTAAGTCGCGACGGATGTTATTTGCATTGTTCTCTTTGTTGAATGTTAGACGCGTCGTTATGTCCCAAGAAGCGAACATGTTCCGAGCTTCGACACTACTGTGCGTTATATGCACTCTGTCAGGATTCTGTAAGGTCGGTCGACTACGTAGAGGGAGCTGCATGGTTGTATCCGAAAATCACGACAAAAGATGAGGCTGTAAGAGGTCGGACGGTGAGCGTCGAGGGTGAGAACGAACAGGCGCCTAATTGAACTCAATCGCCACTCATTATCTTATCCTATGATAAGCCAACTTATCTCGGATCAATATCGCCCCTCTGCCTGAAGTTATTTGACGATCGATTCCAGCCACTGCAGAGTCCTGACGAAGACGACGAGGAGCTCGATGACGATCTTCTTCCTCGATGGTTCGACCCAGTCGTTTTTGCTAAGACATACGCTCTTAACGAAGCGTTTGCTTATGATAAACTTCTTCCTGCGCAAGGATCTGTAATTCCTTGGTTCTACGGTACTCACCAGGTGATATGCAGCGTCTTCACGCGGAAGATGCCACTTGCTTACTCTCACTTGACAGTTTACGCTACCTGACGGAACAATTCTGTCCGGCCTCCTGATGGAATATATCGAAGGATGGAACCTCGACTCCAGTTTTACACGGGGGTTGACCCCTGATAGGCAAATAAAAATGGTGCGGGTATCGTGGTCATCAGTCACGGAGCGAATCAATGACTTTCTTCCAGATCCAAAGTTGTCGACACGCAGCGCGTGTTCTGGATATTGCTGACGTCGCTCAACGCGACTGGCATAGCGATCAGGTAATCCTCTACACCAATCCTACCACCAAACTCGATCATGCGGTGCTCATTGACTTTGCGTCAACGCAGACGTGGGAGCCACACGAGGTGAACTACATTCAAAATTACTTTGGCCTGCTTCACGTCCTATTGGGTAGACAAGGCGATGTAGGGCTGGATCCGGAGCTTGTGTGGAAACATTATGGCGAGCCGGATGATTGGGATCCGATACGAGCTTGGATCCCTACGGAACCAAACGGTAAAGGGATGAGGGTTGTGAAAGCTAAGGACATGTTCCCTTACATTTCATCTACTTGACTTTGGATTCCCAATGATTTCGGCATTGGCTTGTATCTGAGTATGTCAAGTTGGTATAATACAACCGATAACACGTTTCGCTTGAAAAGTATGAACAAACTTGGAATGAGGTGAAACTATGTACATGATATTTGAGTGAGCATCACAACCAGTTGACAGTGAAATTCCAGTGTTCAATACAGACTCGAGCTAGAAAGTCCTCCTTCGACATCAGAGTGTCCCACTGCAGCTCTTCATTGCTCAGAAATTTGTACATGAGAGAGTTCTTTTTTTATCTTTTTATGTAATTTGAGCTCAATCCTGACTGCAACTTACAGACTGCTTGAGTTGTTGAACTTGATTGGGAGTTCTACTTAGTACTTGACATATGGAGGTCAGAATGGGTGAGGGAACTTCTCTTCACTTTTTCTAGAGAATTATCAAGCTCAAAGAGGCTCTGAGTAACAGGCCACTGAACTGAATCTTGAGCTAGGAACCCATGGGATGATGAAATTCAAGACAAAATCATGAAACAAATTGGCAAGGTAATAATCATGCTTGCTTCATAACAAGTAAGCTCTATATGACAAAAGAGTACCGATTTGTTGACTATAGGTCAGGCCCGAGCAAGATGGGGACCAATGAAGTGGTCCTGACCAGCACCTGAGAAAGCGAACTGCAAATCAAAAAAGAAAGCGGGCCTGACCGGGAATTGAACCCGGGACCTCGTCGAACACCCTTTAAGAGCCCTAACAACGAATCATACTCCTAGACCATCAGGCCGATGAATGTTGTTCCCCGGAGAGAATGATCATCCCAGCGATAGATGCGTGTTCTAAGCGGATTGTAAAGGAGTGTTATTGCGAAGAGTTAGAAGCGTATAATATATCTATGTGTCAACATGAGTTTCCAAAAGTCGGCCGGAGTATGTCGCCATGGATCGAACCGACGTCCTTCAATAAACCCACATCCTGGTCGGTTGTCTGTATTGGACAAGGAATGTACAAACAAGTGGACGCCGGAGTTACCTTCCAAGTTTGCCAAGGAGGAAAACTGAGGTGTTCAGTTCATGATCCACTGCCGTACTGCCTTTGAAGCTCCAACATCTGGATGGAGCAGTACAGCGGAGAGCCAGTATTCTAGCTGTCTTCGGCGTTGGTCAAGAAATGCTGGGCGGTAACGGGCAAAGGGAGCTTTTGGAGGGAGTTGGGGGACATATCGTTGTTGGTGCCGCTGATGGGAAGGTCAGACATAGTCAGAGAGCGATGCGAAGGTGACACTCACAGGGAGTGAACGTCTCAAAGCAGCATCGAGCTGCACGAATGCATTGTAGCGTTTGTGAGCATGTATTGTTGTACCCTATAGAACTTTCAATTAGTGAAGCTATTAAACTTATGACGGGCGGACCTCTTTTGTTTTCACAACACAGTCGTATACTGAATAGCCCCTTAGTACGAGATGGAAGGCTAGAGGATTGTAAAATACAGACCAACATACGCCCCTCCTCCAAGCTTATCTTTGTCGCCCACATTCGTCCATCCACTGATCTGAACATTCCGAGCAAAAGCTAAACTTTCTCCAACGTTATCACCAAGCCAGATGCTCGTGCTCTCAGTAGCTGAGAATATGGAGGCCGGTCTCTCGTATTCTGTTGAAGCCCTGGTCATTGGTATCCTCTCCTCGAAGCACATTTCATCGTACAACCTCGCTTCTTCTTCGATGTCAATTCCAGGATTGCGTATTATTTCCAGCCGTTTTTTCGTGTTAGCAAACGGATGAACATAGGCATTCTGGAAATTTGGGGTGCCCGGAGTTTTGGGCATCGTAGGTGTTATCGGGGAAGGGCATGCGGAGGAAGGTGGAGAGGACATGGCGATGGTAGAAAACGAAGGACGAGATTATCAGGGGAATATTGTCTGACGGAGTAGGACGGGGTTGGTGCGCTCCAAAAGGGACATGGGAATTCCGGAACGGGTTCTATTGTGATCCGCTGTCCCACCTTGCTCATTCTTGATATCGCCCCGCTCAGTTTATATATACATAGGTTGTATACGGCCTGAGGCCTGAGTACTTGAGTATCTGTTACTGCATCTATTTCGTTCATCAAAAAAACGAAAAGTAGCATTTGAAAATCGTACGATTCCTACAGTTTGCAATTTGACGCTCAAAGAATATGTCAATCAAGGAGCAACGGTGTGACTATCGGGATCCGTGCTATGGCTCTTCTGTAGCTTTGCAGATCCTAGATACACATAATATCAATCTGAGACTCAGGAGTGGTACAGCTACAGTGAATCATTTTCGTACTCTGGGAGGTTAGCAACCGTAATCAGAGCATTCGATGAAAAACTGTAAACAAACTTTCGGGAAACACGATAGTTGGTCAACGGAATTTGTGATTCAACCCATGATAGATGATGAAGATTCTGTTATTGTTAACCTATATCTTGAAGTAACAGAACATGTCGAACAAAGCGCTACGAACATATGAAAACAAGGGGGCGAATTCGACAAACACAGAACAAACACACTTACAGTAGGATACACTTTCTAAAAATATCGTACAACACAGGAACAGTTCGCAGCAAAAACAACATAACTATAGAATCATTACAGGCCCTATGGCTGCTCTTCACTGGAAGATCCCTCTTCAAAGATGTGTGTAGCTGTGGTATTAGGGGGTATTATAACCTCCGCCATCCCCACTTCGACATGCGGAAGATCCTCTTCATCAGCGCCTTCCTTTGACCGATGGGCAGCAACCGCCAGAGCACCAGGCATCGCAATCAGCACAGCAACTTCAACATGCGTTGGCACGGACATCTCTGCGTGCGGCAGTGTTTGATGTGCTTTCGTTTCAACCAGAGGGTGGGCGTTGTGGGAAGCGGAAAAATTGTGATCGGATTGAGAAGGATGATGGGAGCCAGGTGAAATGAGCCTCCAGATTCCTAGAGCTACGCGAGCAGAAGCTGCTGGTGCTGAACGAAGACGACTGGCCATGGAATTCGTTCCAAGAGCGGGACTCGAAGTTGTGTTGTGATTGTTGGCACCATCGGAATCGGAAGAAGCATCTCCAGTGTTATCTGCAATTGATTGTGGATTTAACGTGGACGAAATCGATGCAGACACCGGAAGAATATCTGCCCAGCCACCTTCCTTCCCATTCCATTCACTGCGGACCGTTGCCTCCCACATCTTTGGTTTCATAGCCAGATCCACCCTACCTCGAGCAGTAGCTATCACGCTTGGTGGGACATACGTTCCATTTCGGATTGCTTCCTCGACCATGCGACGGTGGCGTCGTCTAAGAACGAGAGAACGTACCACGATAGCGGCGGAGACACCAAGGAGCAGAACAAGCGTGGCGAGGAAGGTGTAGACTGTGAAAAGCTGCTCATTACAGATTCCCGCCTACAGCGTGAGGTAGACGTACGATAAAGAGAAGCAGAGTTCGCAAGACTTCCACCGCCATCCGAGCCTGAACCAGTATCGGTAGAATTTCCGCCGCTAGGAGTGCCAGATTGGATAGATGAAGTCGAAGACGTTGCAGAAGCAGAATTGGTTACCGAGACCACAGAAGAAAAAGCTGAAGATGAAAGCGATATTGTCGAAGACATGGTGATGGTTAGTAGATATGTTTCTTTGTTGTTGAGACGATATCTGGGGGGAAAGTAAGCCACCAATGTAAGACAAGTGAACTAAAAAGGACTGACTTTTGAGAAATTGCTTCTCAAGTGATCGAAGAGAATTAGTCGTGAAGTGAGTCGTTAATTATCCTTTAGTTCACTGAGACTCGGAAGTCGTGCTGAGCAACAGCAAGACACTGAGTGAGAGTTCAATGACAAGGTGATACCAGGGCACAGGGCCAATTATAACGACGGGACGATGTTTCTGGATTGGTGCTCGAGGAATACACGTCCCGCAGCAAGATTAACCCGGATTTGGGTTCGGCTGGACACGCTCAGCGGTTGACAGCAAATAAAATTGGCAGGTAAAGTGAAAGGAGGAAGTGAGTGTTTCTCAGACTTACGTTATAGCCTGTGATTGGTCTTCGGGCACAGCCCCACAGATTTCCGTCAGATATTATCCGAGTCCGAATGTTTTGCCACCATGCATGGGGAAGGTGGTTCGGTGTTCGCGCAGAGCTTCACTCGCATGTGCACAAAAACAATCAATCCAATCTGTTCGGGATTCGGGAAGGATTGACAAGCACTTGACACTGCTTGTGTTAACACCAATCTGATACCGGTCCACAGTCGTTCCTTTTCGAATTCAAGAAACGAAAATATCCAAAATAGACTTCACTGTCGTGGACCCCAGCCTGTTGATGTCTAATGTACTTGGATTGTAGGATAAGAATGGAAAAGCAAACAAAATTGACCAATTCCGGGGTAGAATAGACCTTGCAAGAAAGGTGGATTATATCTAGATCTCAAAAAATGTTTGTCGAACTCACGTCTCGGAAATTGAGGTCAATTTCAACTTGGAGCTCAATCTTTTTCGCGAATGATTCATTCGCTCAGAGGTGACTCGGATCGAACGCACACGAGCATCACAAGAGCCACAAAGATCCAATTACCATAACAGTAGATCAAGCATAATTATTATCATAATGTCGCATCATGACCAGTACCCACAAAGTACTGTACAGATACAACAAGGAGATTCAAGAATACCCTTTATCCTATCCTACCCCCCGCCCTATCGATCCTATCTTGTCCGGGCCACCTGCTGTTGAATAGCTTCTTTCTTCTTTTTCGAAGTCTCGCCGACAGCATCGAATACATTTCCCAATGTGACCCACCAGAAACTTTTTGCACCGTAAACGGGATTTTCTCGCTGAACATACACTGTTGCGAGCCTAAACGAACAAAATGCCCGCACAAGGTACTGCTCTGGTGTGAAGTGGGTCCCATGCAGCATATCGTAAACACCCTTGACGAGGATGTTCGTCTCCTCGCGCAATTTCCGTATGTGATCGTTACGGACGGCAGTTGACACTTCCGCATTGTATAGGATCGTCCCCGCTACGGCCTCTTCTTCTGATAGCAGATACGATTTGCTACGGTTGAGATTGTGCATCGAACAAATAATCTGAAGGTCAGCGCAGTATTGAACGAACATCCCATGTAGTTCGGAGTTGTTGTCATGCTCCTCGTTTCCCTCTATGAACTGTGCAACATAAGATTCAATGACTCCTAGAATGTCGCCAAACTCTGAGCCGGAAATACTGGTTGTACTCATGAGCGTCGTGAGTTGGTCCAGAGAAAGTTCCTCCTGTTCTTGAAGGTCAGTGTGGTGACCCGATGAGCTAATTTCCGAGCCAGAGGACAAGTCTATATCCCTGAACAATTTTCCCAGCGCTCTTGTACTGCGATAGTACTTCTGTTCATCAATCACTTCCATAGACTCGGGTGCATACCAATCAGGAAGACGCTTGTTATACATGGTCTTTCTGGGAATCGAATAAAAAGACACAGGATTTCCTGTCTTCGGATAGTCAACCGCTTGACTATGAAGGTCTGCGAGCCTCAGACATTCATTGTCTAGAATCCCTCTGGGACTCGAATCCGCAAGAACACGCCAGGTAAGAGCCACCTGACCAATGGCCTATAACATGGCGAGTAAGTAAACTGTAAATAGGGAACGGTCATGGAAAACGAAACTGACATCCGATAAAATGTACTGCATAACAAATTCTGCAACATCGAGGAGAGTGCAATGGCGAATGAGCTCCCGACGAACCGCGGGTTTGTACAAACTAGGTTTCTGAATTTGAGATTGGGAAATCCGGAACTTGGGTAGAATATCCAGTGGGATAATATCATATTCGTCGCCGTCTAAATCTCCTCCGCCCAAGGCAGAAGGAACAGGACGGTCGCCTAGAGCGTGCACGATCAAATGGTGCATGCTTTTTCACATTAGATTCGTACCTGTTGTGGAGAACACTATAGTATTTGGTAATGGTCCACGTCGCAAGGCGGAGGTTGCCTTTGGGAAGATCGCATTCACTAACTGGATATCTCCAGGATGGATAGAAGGGGACCGTGAAACGAGACAAGGTCCACTTAAATACTTCAGCTTTCCGCTGTTCTTTTCCATGATGCAAACGGAAATCTCATTAGGACCTAGCTCTTGATTGATGTCAGCTATTCCAACCAGATTATATGCTCCAGGAACAGGTATACGAGCTTCATGAGCATAGTGAGTGACACCAGAAGTAGTAGGCATCTGAGAAAATACTTGCCACGATATTTGAGATCACGTAGGACATGTTTGACTCCAAGGTCTAGGACCCTCTCGAAAAAGTCATCCTTGAGCATGGTATATCCGATTTTCGAAAGAAGGGTCATCACAGTTGGAAGACGGAAAGAGCCTCCAATACCTTGTACTTGGAAAAAATAACTTGCAGACTCAAGTGAGTGCATAGCCTCATGAGCTTCCTTCACTGCAAGATCTTGGTAGTACTTGAATGTTTCAAATGGAACACCCAGACCCTCCAATAGAACGATTAGCGGGCGGTTCAAATAGAACCTAATAAGACTTGAAGTGTAAGTAATGGTCCTTTGAATTCATCAATGACCGCTCACGGTGTTGGCTTATCAAATACTTGGGCAATCTCAAGTTTCGTCGATGGTGCCCCGATAAACTTGATCATTGACGGTCTAAGCCCGATAGTCATGCCAGTCAACTTGTAATCAACACTCAACATTCCTTTTGCCCCAAGATATCTAATCTGTAGTGCTCTTGGATAGTCTGAAAGCGTTTTTTTTCTGGGATTCATCTCTCCATATATCTTCCGCGCCAGGTCGGGAGACATTGTGCCTACACCATCAGTGAAAACCCATCGGTTTCCCTTCGAGTCGACTCGCTCTATATCTGGAATCTGTCTGATTTCTTCCACTTCAGTTGTAGTGGGATCCGTGGACGTGAAAGCTTGGCTGATCCTGGCGGCGTATCGCGCGGGGCAATACATCAATCGCCGATCGAATGCAAGGCCCGAGAACGAACCCAAGCTCTGGATGATTTTCTGCACATTTATCAATGTGCCATTCTCTTTAAATGGTGTCATGAACCAAACTGCGTGCTCCTTCAATGCAGACTGGGAATACGCAAGGAAATAGAACGGACGACCACCAATAATGAGTTTCTTCTTCGGCCTAGTGTCATTTCTCTCTCTCAGGCCCTCAATTAGAAAGGGAGCTATCCTCTGTGCAATGTAATAATTTCCGTCGATTTCGCGATCATACCGTAGGCGCAGTCTGCCTTCATCAGAGAAGCTGACGCGGATAAAATATTTGCGGTGATTTGGACGGAAGGATCGGACAATCCTGTTCGACCGTTCGGGAAGTGGCCCAGTGATTAAAACCGAGGAAGGTGTGACCTGGACATGGAGGCAGTAGAATAAACCATCATCTATGCGCTGCCGGTACAGGGACTGAGAAGGGTTGTCGAAAGTGCGTATACATTGCATGAAACACACATTCAAGGAATGCTCCTCCAAGTCCTGTCCTGGATTCCAGTAGAGATCTAAGGCCTTCTGCCCAAAGTCTTGGAAAACGAGTGCAACAAAATTCTGTCTCCGTTCGCCTTTCGTGTCGGCCCTATTGTTCAGGTAATTGATCTCTGGACGAAGAGCCAAGAGCTCTATTGGATCAGCACAGTGTCCACGAAGAAGAGCATCGAGTTGACATGCAATGTCGAATCTGAGAGTTGGAAGCCAACAACGGAATGATTTCAACGCAGATTGCGAAAAGAGCAGCCGATGTTCCACTGGATATTCGAAGTCTTCGATAGGAAGCTTCAAATTGCCTCTTTCGACCGCGAGACGTCGAAAAAGTGCCGGACCATCATGGGTATCAAAGACAAGACGAACGGACAGTGAGGTGTACGGCGCAACATCGTCATGATCGCGACCACTTGGGTCTTTCAAGGGAAGCGAAGATAATCGGTGACTTGGAAAATTTTGTACTAGGTTGTACAATTTCCGTCTGAACGAAGGGGGTGTATATAACGAGAAAATGACGGCAGGTTCTGTAATAGAGTATGTGTTAATTGCAACGTTGGAAATCTGAGAATACTTGAACAGGATAAGGAGGTCCTCGCCGTCATCAAATGGATTGAGTTCATACTCGGGATTAAGGAAGAACGTGGGATCCTCCAAGCATATTTCCACTTGTTGTTTTGGGGGGTCAAATTTGATCGTGGTTTTTCTTTCGCAACGATGGTCCCATTCTACTGAGAACATCTGGTCACGGCAGTCCCAGCCAAATTGCACTCTAGAGATTCTGAGGGAATTTGGTAATTCTGGGTTCCGTTGTCGAAACCCGGGTCGTCTTCTGGTAGTAGGTATATCATGAGCCTTGTTTGGATCAAGAAACGGTGCTGTCCTGATTTGATGAAGAATGCCAGAAGAAATACTCAATGGTTTGGTGCTCTTTTTGAAGAACACTCGTTTTGCCCTGATGACGATAATACGTTCCCGAGGTTGTGAATCCTCGCCGCCATATTCTCGAAGGAATTTCTCTCCGATTTCAACTGTCGGCAGAGAGAGTAGTCCACACCCACTGTTCCGTCTCCAGGAGCCTCTCCTGCCGGGCTGAAAAAGCCTTACATGAAAGTTTAATGGAGTGATAGGACTGTACTCCGGTCGATGTAATTTCTTCGCTAGGGCCTTGATAACGTCCAACTGCGTGCCAGATAAGTCGATGTTGTGCATAAAGACATCCATGACGGGGATCAATAGCAAGAAACCGACCAATCTCTGTAGAATTTATATCTCTTCAAAAAAGGTGCAACTCATATCTAAAAGCGCTCATGGAACTTCTGACTGGTCACATTCTCAGTTATATTGAACGCCATTCCAGATCAAGCCTTCCAATATCCGTACCAGTGAGAACATCGATGAGGGACGCAGCAATTCAAAAACGTACAGAGTGTGTCTTCTCGCACTGCGCAGAGTACAGCTCCCCACAGTCAGAGTTATCCAGCCATATATCATGTTCAAGATAAGAGGATCATTACTGCGGAGTAAGTATGGACTCAGGCTTGCGGACGGGCTTGGCGCTAAATCAAGATTACAGCTCCGAAGTTCAGCGCTTATTTGAACAATCGCCCACCCCAGTCTGAATCTTCGTTCCATCTGAAAAAAAAGGCCCATTACTGTATCATATCCTCATGGTTCTCCTTGCTGGAATCGTTATCACAGTGCAGCTGTATCAGATAATGGGACGGCATGATTGCGGTTATCTTAGAGCTTATAGTCAACATCAACTCGTCGGAACCTATCTACCGATACAGGACTCGAATTTGGTGTACAGACCATCAACATATGAAGACCGGTTGTTCCGGAACGTCCCAATATATCACATTTCTTCTGTACCACCATCTGCTCCAATACGTCGATGGGCAACTTTCATGACGAGATACCTTCGTTTCTCATTCCTTGGATCCAGAAGCAAGAGGTGTTTTGGGTAGCCACCAGTCCTCTCAGCGCCGATGGTCACGTCAACGTCTCCACGAAGGGTCTCAAAGGAACCTTTCATATCATCGATTCGAAGAGAGTCTGGTATGAGGACTTGACTGGAAGTGGTTCGTTCGTCTCGAGAAGGACAGTGGAACTCTTAGATATCTGCTTTCATAGGTGTTGAAACCATTTCGCACTTGCGCGAGAATGGTCGTATCACCATACTCTTCAATGCTTTCGTTGGTCCGCCGAGGATTGCCAGACTTTTCGGGAAAGGTGATCACATTGTCCTTACTGACGTGACTTGATTGTTCGTCCTTAATCCTGTTTGACAGGTTCTGTGTATGAATTCGGTACAACTGAATACAACGAGCTACTCCCGCCCGACGTACGAAACCCTGGTTCGCGAGCGGTAATCATAGTTGACGTCGAGAAAGTGGGGACTGTGAGTTCAATGCCTTCCAACCAGGTTCCATGGATTCACCCATGGATTCACCTATTTTCTTAGTCGTGCGGATACGGAGTCCCCTTCTTCGAATTCAAAGGCCATCGTGACACTTACTACAACGTTGCATCCCGTTTTGAGCAAGCAGATTTTGCTGCCCAGCAAACGGATAAAATGCCTGAGAAACCGGTCAACATTGATTCATTGCCGCAGAAAGGCTTGCGGCATTACTTTTTATCTCATAACGCAACTAGTATTGATGGTCTTACGGGATTGACCACTGCACACGAGACGCCTCGCGCTTGTAACATCGCTATAACGAAACGGTCGGAAATAGGACGCCTTTCGACTGGCCTCGTGACCAGAATTGGGATAGATAGCTCAGGTGAGCTATCGAAGATGCTTCAGTTAGTAGACTTGCGATTTTTAGCAGGTACTATCATGGGGCTTCTCCTTGCAACACTGTATTCCAAGTATTCAAAAGTATCGAATTGTTAACGTAGTGTGTGTAGCCCAAAGCACCAATGTACATATCATGCAAAGCTAGGAATTTCCGTCCGTTTCCGAGGACCTCGGATGTCTAATCCGTCCGTTCCCAAGTTCCAAGAGGTTCGAAGTCAGACCACCCCATCTTGCTACCTTATCACCACCATCTAGCTTTCCAGCAATGGGCCAATTCTTCGAGGAGATTCCCCCCTTCCTTATCTCGTGGCTTGAGAAACAGCAAATGTTCTGGACGGCTACAGCTCCTCTTAGCGGAATGGGACACGTTAACCTTTCACCGAAATGTACGAGAGGGATGTTTCATATCGTCAACTCGCAGAAAGTCTGGTACGAGGATATGAGTGGAAGCGGTCTGTACCCAGAAAACACTCTTTGAACAGTTCACAAGTCTGACGTACGTATCATTAGGTGTAGAGACAATATCTCATTTAAAAGAGCCTGGAAATGGACGAATTACAATTCTCTTCCATGCTTTCGAGGGTCCTCCCAGAATTTGCAGGCTTTTTGGTATAGGCTAGCATCCAGATCGCACTATCCTTTGAATTTCTTTTCTAAACTTCTCTACTTAGGATCGGTGTATGAATATGGAACGCCTCAATATGACGAGTACATCTCTCCAGGAGCTCGTGTCCCTGGATCGCGAGCTGTTATCGTTGTAGATGTCCACAAAGTTGGAACTGTGTGTACATTTTGTATACTGAAGCACGTCTTTTTCATTCCTCGTCAGTCTTGTGGATATGCTATCCCGTTTTACGAATTCAAATCGCATCGAAATCAGCTATTACAATGGGCTCAGAAAAAGGAATCTGAAGACGACGAGGCCCTCCGGGAGTGTAATGAACCTTCTTCAAAAGGCCTTATCTCGTACTGGAAAGAACATAACGCTCGTAGTATTGACGGCATTCCAGGTCTAGATCGCAAGACGTTCGAAGAAGCACTCAACCTTTTCAATACAGGAAGTTTGTCCTATATCTCAGACGACGCTACTTCTACCCGAAAAGCTGGCCCGCTTGCTGATGTTTTTAAAGACAATGGCATGTTGGACTCGAAATTCTTGACGGGCCTTATCCTTGGAGTCCTCGCGACTTCGGTGGTGGTGCGATATATATGATTGTTGCCGGTTTTGTCAAATGTAGTAACAAGGTTCGTGTACTCTCATGTTGTATTCTCACCATATTTTCAAATGTACCTTTAGCAAATGTAGAGTACAGAAAATGTACAAATAAATGTCATGCCTGCAGTCAGCGTAAGAGATCTGAGCGCGTATGTCAGAGGGCCATTCGGAGAGAGCAACGAAGTTGGACGTCAAGCCGCCGCCTCGAAGAGAATTTTTTTGATATGGTTTAGTCTATCATGCCGATGGCTTCCATTTTAACTGTGGTCTTCGTGGACATCCCAACCACAACATACAGACTCAAGTTCTTCCTTCAAACGGATGGGTTAACCTGGTGTCATTCACAATGAATTGACCGTTATTAGCGAGGCTCCGTTTGCGTGCATTGCCCAACATAGTCGGGAACCACCTTCAAGACCATGTCTTGAACTCCTTCATGTACCGCAGATGTACCAGGTGTACAACGAGTTCGAGTGTTCCTGTGATACCGCAGCATTCCACGCAGATTTCACCTATATCCAACCACTCGGTGACGGGCCGACAGGACTTTTGCACATCAGGCGGTGCTTCTATACATATGCATACATAAGATAATGTTTGAATGATTCTTTCCTTCCAGACTCCGATTATGACACCTTTGTGTACATACAGTCGGGGACAATCAAAGTCGACAAAAAAAATGAGCGAGTTTTCCCAGGCTCAGATTATAGTAGAAATCATTCTATTCTACTTTGCAAGTATTCTGGCACAAAAAGGAAGAGGTTTCAACGAGCCGATCTCCGAAAAAGGCAAGTTTGGGTTGCAGACCTCGAAAAATTGGCCGTACCCTAAAATCTCGTGGGAAAAACTTCGGAGGTGTGTTTTTGGACGTATTTGGCCTTCCTGAGTACAAATCCATCATCAGTTTTATCGAGAAAACTCACCCTCATGTGCCACAACAGCTTTGATGAAGTTTCCCATCTGCCAAAAGGGTGGGAAAGCTTCACATGCTCTGTCATGTGATGCTTGCAGCAGCTCGGACATACAGAGGGAAATGAAGTGGGTAGAATTTAACAGAAATTCTAATCAATTGTTCCCTTGTTATACCTTTCAGTGACCTCCATAGTGCTCAGATATGAAATGAAGTAGCTTAGAGTCAACTTTTACCTCAGAAGTTTTTGAAAATCAGTGGAAATCCTTGTCAAAAGGGGTCTAAAGATGCGTTGAAAACTGCCAAAAAATTGGCCGTACCTAAAACGTCGTGGGAAAAACTTCGGAGGTGCGTTTTTAGACGTATTTCATCGTTCTGAATCTGAATCTGCCATCAGTTTTCTGCAAAAAACTCTCGTTCGGCCGCTATCGGCTGATTACAGACTTGTCGGGTTTGATTGTCCCCGACTGTAGATATATCCGTGCTATTCAAAAATAATTAGCTATAAGTAAAGTAGTATATATTCACGGTCGGAGTTGTACTTGAGTCTTTCCTTTCGTTCCCGTCTCCCCCCTCGAAGAGCTCCAAGCCTACTGCGTTTCCAATATGACTTCTAATTCTGCTGACACCTCTGCTGGGATTGATATGTCTGGAATTTTTGCACCGTTTTTCTGGGGTGAGTCGCCGCATCAACCGTTCCTTGGTGCGCACTAATGCACATTATTTACTTAGGTTTCTTCGTTTCAATATTGTGAGCTTTTCGTGAAACAGTTCTAGCACCTCGAAATTTTTAACAATATCATATCAAGCTTGGGTGGCATCACAATTGTTCAGGCATATATGTACTTTCCTCATCCGAGTGATAGGATGTGCGTTCAGGTCATAGTGCGTCTCCCAAGGCCATCGAAGTTGTTATTGCGATGTTGATTGGCGCATACAGGCCGCGATTATGCTGTGAGTTTACTATGGGTCTTCGAAAGGTTCTTTGTCTTGATATAAATTATCACGTAGTATTTTGGACCTAATATCCTCAGCCCTCGTAGCGCAATCATTGTATTACTACTTGGTCAGTGATTCTGCTGGTCACCAGCGCTCACACTTCTGATATAGATCATACTCTGTCGACTATAGATCCCACATTTTGGATCACTGGCACCGCTGCAATTCATCACTCCGTGATTATTTATCCTTTTCAAAGATCACGTTGGACCTAAGCGCTTACCATGTAACTTCCTTTGCAGTGAGCTATCTGCCGAATGTTTGATATCTGGGATTTTGACTTTCATGTAAACATCCTTTGCTGCAATTAACCCTCGAACACATCGTCAGGATCTCTGATCACCTCCCTCAGCTCCCAGATGTACTTTGTCTACCAGATCTACTCGGGTAGGTTTTTTTACCATACCGTGCACGTGTCGTTAGATCAACGTTTCGCTAGTCAGACGCGTCGGAATTTTAGCCTCGACCGTTATCGGGGTTCTGGTGAGCCAACAACCCTCAGAATTAGTATACATACATTACTGAGAGAACCCTTTCCTACCCTTTCGTGGCAATTCGCAGACTCTGTTTGCCGTTCTTACGTTCGGTACGTACATTCGCCCGGCTTCGAATATTTCACTTCATATGTTTCCCCCACCGACAGTCGGAGGTATAGGTAAGTCCCGTCTGCCACCTTCACATATGTGCTTCTACTGAATGAGTTTGCTCGTAATTTCTTACTGTGGAACTCCCATGTTGAAAAGGCTGCGTTGCCACGATGTATGTCTTTGCATATGGTGTTCTCGCAGATCGTAACGAGGATTTCGCGGTACGGTTCAATGCTGCATGGTCTCCTTTATTTTAATTCGATTTCTCTCCACGACGTAGATATTTTTTGGTCTTGCCAAAGGGTTCGGTGCTGTGACTGATATCATGGCAACGCTTGCGATGTGTACATTCCTTTCAAACGCCAAGACGGGCATTAGACAGTATAGTCACTCAAGTTTTTCACGGCTTCATGCATGTGTCTGACCACCACTTCGCGCTATGTAGAACGGACAATCTGATCAAGAGTCTGATTCAATATGTCGTAGAGCGGGGAGGAGTTGTAACACTCATTCAGACTCTTCTTCTGATAACTTTTTACGCCGCTCCCACTAAACTCTACTGGTCAGTTCCAGTACTATTTCATACACTTTCTTCTCACTATGAAGAACAGGTTGGCATTCCATATCAACGTCACTAAGCTATATGCCAATACTTTCTGTGAGTACTTGAAATTTTTCTCCCATCGCTCACCGATTGAATGCTGACACTTGGAAATCTGTAAATTTAATCAGTTTGCATGTAAGTTATCAGAGATTAGTTCTGCTCTGAGTTTTTTAGAGTCATTTACGAAACCCTCAGGCTCAATGCTCGAAAAGGTCTATGGGAGAAACACGCCGCAAATAATAGAGCAACCGCGATGGTCTCTAGCATAGTGACCAACGGAATCGAGTTCAGATCCACCAGATCGGAAGGCATATCGACGTTTGGGAGATCATACGCGCTTACCCCCATAGATGTGAGTTGCAGCTTTCACTCATCTGGTCTTGCCTTACTTTGAATAGGATCAAAAGTCATACCCTGATATCATTGATATGCCTACGATCACAAAGACAGTGATAGTTTCAACTGCATGATGATAGCGTTCCGAGTCATCCTTTACTGTACATATTAGTCTCGACTGTATATATAATGTATAATTTCGGTCAACGTCTGGGTTGCAATCGCAATATACAGGTATACCACGTTATTCCCCTTCTTTTCCAATCCCTTTTGCCTGCGAGTCTTCTACCAGCTCAATCCTTGAGTGTCCAGCTTATTTCCCGAGTCAACCTCTCGAATACGCGTCACTAACAGAGAATCGTGCCAGCCAATGTTTTTGCCACCGCACCGACATCGACGTTGATGTGATAGGTACTCCCCAGATAACATAGCCTTGCACAGATCTTAGATAAGAGAGTCGAGACAGTCTCGTTGCAGGAAGATTGGATTTCGAACGACAATAACGACGTCAGAACTTTGTTTTTGCATGTTCGTATATTGCATGAAGGCGAGGAAGTGAAAACCTCGACAATCACGCCGTGACCACGTCAGTGCAGATAGCGCCAAGTAGACGAAGGGCCCAATGGATATTTATTGATATGGGGATTCAATATTCAAGGAGGATACTATTAACTTGATATTAACTTAAAGCCAGAAAAGCACCAATACCTTAGGCCGAAACAGGCCGAAACCGACCAAAACCAACCAATTCTCCAGGCGTCAAATTCACTCGAGCCAGTCACCTTGGTGTTCGTGGAGGTGAATTCTGCCTGGAATCACATTTCAAAGTTATCTAGTTATAAGTTTTTCTCGTTAGGCGTTGCGAGCTACGACCGCTTTCCGTAGCGAATCTCGTGTCCGGTCATCTACGGTACTTTTTCCGAGATTCAAGGGGACTATCGGCAAATACGCGTCGGCTGCGCTTGCGACGCCGACAGACCAAATTTTTTTATCCAGCTTCAAAAATCCTAGGCCTCCTCTCCTGCAGAACTTACACCAATCGAGCTTGTATTTTAATCGACAGTGTATTCCAAAGGCTCTCCGCTTCCAATGAATTCAAGCTCAAGCTCATTGGGCAACTTTCAAAAAAACATCGTAGCGGTCGTCGTCCGCTCGCCTTCATCCCAAACATAAGCAGTCTATGAAACATCTTTGACGCGTTTCTCACCCAATCCACCCGAAAAGCGTCAGAGTTAGCACCATTTCGAATGTAAATTCACTATAATTAACTACGGACAATATGCTTTCAAGCGTGGAATATATGCAGGGTGCATCAGCTCTTATCAGAGTCTACCAAAGCTTATCCTATAACCTCCTATAACCCAGATAGGAAGAGTTTCATCCATCAATCTTGAACAGGAAGAATGCTCCCGACATTGTCCTCGATCATCAGAGTTGGGCGTTGGACGTTGAGCACTACTTGGGGATGCCAGCGCTTCGTAACAGTTTTGTAACTGCTCATTATTTGGTACGCTCTCGATTTTTCCTCTCCCTTTCTGTCTTACATGGTCCTTATGCTACTACATGCTCCAGTTCTTCTGCCCGATCTGTTTGACCTTCGGAATCCGAAAATGATTTTCGTTACAATGACATTCTCCAATACTTGTCTTCATTTCCCTATCCATTCCATAAGCGACCACAGAAGCGACTTGACATTGACAGCTGGAGTTGAGGGTCGTCCGATGAAGAAATTCCCGGACATATCTTTCATCGTTCCCTATAAAGTGCTCTCAAAATACCATCCCAATCTCCCAATCGACAATGACTCAAGGAAAGGTCTTCCCTTCCAAAGCACTCCTCCAGCTGCCTCTCTTCCAAGACGATGGATCGACAGAGCAATACTCTACAAAACAGCAAATCGAGCGATCTTACGCCAGAGCAACTCTCGTGGCGCGTGCATATGGTTTGTATTTCAGATCCCACCCGTATTCTGTGTTCATTGTTACTTTTTGCAGAATTTACCTTGGATGACGTCCTTCAAATGAACGGCAAACTATGGGATCTTCACGCCGATCCCATTTCATCGATAGACGCAGCGACCACAACAATATTGACAATCCACTACAATCTTGCGCTCGGGACGCTTGGGCCGATTCTTACTACTCGGCCAGACCTCGCCCCGTTGATCCAAAAACTTCTCAAATTCGAAATCATGTGAGCGACTTCAGAGGTCATTGTATTCTGAAGGGTGTTGCGGATTGAACGCGTCCGTTTCCAGAGGACAATTCATGTTGACGGAGGTCGAGCATGGCCTTGATGCTCGTCAAATCGAGACTACCGCAACACTTCTCCCAGATGGTTCGCTCGAACTGAACACTCCTCACCCAGGTGCAGCAAAGTAAGTCGAGTTGATATCTGGTGTATGGCATGCATATGACGAAGGATTTTATTTCTAGGTATATGCCCCCTGTTACGACTATTTCCGGGATGCCCACCATAGGTGTAGTCTTTTCACGTCTGATTGTGGACGGAAAGTGCCATGGCATCCGCCCAGTTGTAGTCTCCCTGACCGATGGCAAAGGTATGTGTAAAGGGGTCAGCTCGAGGTGAGTTGAGCATATTTGTGTCGACTCGAATCCTCAAGCTCAAGTATCTGCTCTAAGGATGGTCCCTCCACGTTCGGGTTCAAAGCCTTTAGATCATAGTATGACATCCTTTGACCGTGTTCGATTACCTCCGGGAAGTGTTATCGGCTCTCTCGAAGAGTCAACCGACGTACGAGGAGACTTTTTGAAGAGCATCTGGAGGATATCCACCGGAGGCCTGGCTCTATCATTGGGCACTGTCTCGTTCTTGTCTGTTGGAGTATACATTGCTGGCAAGTATAGTCTCAGAAGAACGGTTAGTGGCCCGGAAAAAGGCAGCAAGATGCCCATCATAGGATTCCGAACGCAACAGCTCCCAATTCTTCATGGATTGGCACAAGTACACGTTTTGCAAGCGTTCTCGAAATTCGCCATTCCGTTATTCCGAGACCGGAACCTTCATATGTATGTCCGACACGGAATTTCGACGATATTCAAGGCAACTGCGCTGCAACATTGCCAATCGACCTTGCTTGCTCTTGAAGAGAGGTGCGGTGCGCAGGGCTTGTTTAATTATAACCAGATTGTACGAGGGCATGTTCGTATTTGACCTTACCAAGTACCGACCTGAGAAGCTAATCGTCATTGTAGGCCGATATGAGGGGAGTCTGTATTGCGGAGGGCGATATCTTAGCTATCAGCATCAGTAAGTCAAGTCCTATCTACCATGCGTTGTTGTATTCAGCTACGTTTACAGGACTTATATCTGAACTTTTACAAGGGAAGTATTGTCTTCCGGAGCCTAAGTATCCTGACTGCCTGCTATACAAACACGAGCAAGGGCTCTGGAAAGAAGCAAGAGATCGGTATTCTAAACTCAGCGGGACCCACCGTAGCGAAGAATTCAACAACGCGATACTACCTCTTTGCCGGCCTCTTGCTGAGTTCATCGGTCATCGGATGGCGTACGAGGCAGCCGTAGATCAAGGTGTCGATCCTGCTCTTGTAGAGCTTTACGAAGCAGGCGTTATCAAGCTCGACTCTTCGTGGTATGTGGAGAACGGGCTGTTGAGCCGTGCTGAACAGTTTGATTTGGAAAGCGCCGCTGCGAACAAAGTTTTACCAGACTTGAAACGCTTTCTAGATCTTCTGGATGTGGCAGAATATGCTACAGCTCCCATACTGTCTGGGAAGAGCTGGAATGAGTTCGTACTCAGTTTGCCGCAGTTTTCAGGGAATTCAGAGCCATTAGAGGAACTTCGGGGTGATTCACCAAAACCTACTTCGATGTCGGAAACTGTATATAGAAAAATTTTGTTTTGGCGTTGAAACAACTGTTACCTACGAAAACGTTACTATAGATAAATAGATAGATAGATGACTAGATATATACTTAGCACACACTGTGCAGCTGGTATGTTGTATATAACTCTTGTCTTAAAAACTACCCGCCGTGAATACAAGTAGATAAAGACATTTCGTATGGAGACGAGGAAATGGAAATACTTTATTCATGGATTTATCATGCATACTATACAACAAATCACCGTTTCGTTCACAAGGTACTTCATGTCATGAGTTGAGTCGAGCTTCAGCAGCAGTATATGTACCAGTTATGAGACTGCTTCAGCCTATGCAAACACTCGATAAAGGGCATGCTCAGGTTGATTAATTGACCACAACTTCACTGGTTCTGGAGAACATCTGCCAATTTCTCTGCAGTTGCTATCACCGCCGCAGCCTGCAGTGATGTATCAGAGTTTGACTTCGAACACGAACATCAAAGAATACTCACTGAGTGACCTGAAACCATGGAAGGAAACACAGATGCGTCGCAAATGCGCAGACCGTTGACTCCATGCACCCTGAGTTCATTGTCCACTACTCCCTCGTCTTCGGAAGCAGACATACGACAAGTCCCCATTGGATGGTAGAGCGTTTCCAGTCGCTCGGAGATCTCCTGCTTGAGTTGATCATTGCTGTATTCGTTCAACTTGCCATCAAATGCTGGGTCCTCAAAATCGATATGCGAGGCAATAGGCTCAGTTTTTTGAATCTGGAGGGCAAACCTGATTCCTCGCAGTATCCTCTCGATATCTTGGTCGGCTTGTAGATACCTAGATTGTTTGACGTGGAAAGTCAACACCCCAGCGTGTTTGAAAATGAGAGAGATTTCTGCATACTTGGGATCGACGGAGGGATCACTCCATGGGTCAGAAGACTTCAAGCGAATCAAACCTTCGCTTGATGGTCTATGGAAGACTTAGTATCTCGCTGTCAAGGAAAACACCAGAGATATCACCTCAGAAGGCAAACGTGTAATGCCCGTGTGTGTTCGCTGAATAAGAAACCTCCGTGATCCTTATATGACAACGGAGTGCTAAAGATTTCGATATCGGGACTGTCGGGCCCAGACGTCGTATCAGAAAGTCGGTCTGGATACTCATTTCGCGGAAAGAGCTTCGGATCGTCGGTTCGAATGAAGGCAGCCGCCTCTCCCCACTTGAATTGACCGAATGACTAAGAAGACGATTCACGAAATGGTACGAGGACAGAAACAACTTACATTGATCGCTAGAGGGCCGGTATGAAAGATAAGATATTGTAGTGTTGTCAGAAAATATCGGAAGTTTTGTATAAATCCTTTCCGCATTAAAAATACAGGAGCCAGCTGCAACTTGTCTTTGAGGTGGATATCGAAAACAGGATGATCTTGCAGGTGGGCGCCAACATTTTCAAGGTCTTTGACTACAGCTACGTCGTGTTCGCGAAGGTGGGATGCGGGGCCGATACCAGAGAGCATCAAGATCTGGGAGCAATGGTCGCAGTCAGCACCGGCAATCTTCAGTGTTTTTCAGAAACGAGCACCGTACATGAGGAGTATGGATAGCCCCGGCGCTGTCAGCACGATAAGATTGTTCAGGAGAAGTGGTTAAAGAAGCAGATACACTTACGCTAGAATAACATCTTTGTTTGTAAATGCATAGTATGTGGTCCCACCCAGAGTACTTTGCATCTGGACCCCGACAGCTTTCGGTTGTATGGTTGTTGTATCAAACAAGATTTTGGTGACTTTCACTCCAGTCACGACCTTAAGATTGGACCTCGCAAGTACTTGAGGTGTTAAATACGAAGTTTCTGTCGATACTCGTGTTGCTTTTTCATCGATGTATGTCACTGCCCTAGATTTGAGGGCAGGTGAACGGAGAAAGAGGCGATGAACTCACTTAACTAGGTTGTAAAATGTGAGCAGATACATATCTTCGTCAAAGACGAAGAAATTGCTTACTCGATTTACGCCTAGTGTTCCCTTTCCATTATCAAAATCTGGACAGAATGGAACATCCAAAGCTTGACACGATTTGACAAAGTCTTGTCCGAACCGGGTACTGTAATTAAAGTAGCCCACTCGTACAGGCCCGTCTGATCCTCGCAACGAGGTGTCAACTTGGGGATAGGATGGATCCGCTAGCACACGTTCAAACTTTTGAAAGTAGCTGGAAGACCGAGGGTTAGATGTCGAATCACTGGCCTCGAATCACTTACCGACCAAATTCATTCCACGACCATGTTTTGTCTTTGGTAATGTTTGCCCATTCGTCGTAATCCTCTGGAGATCCATAATGGGCACTGTTACAAGTAATGAGATTGGACCGTGAATGCTAGTAGAAAAATGCGGCGAGCCCTACATTTGCGCATTGATGGATGAGGCTGAGAAATGGGGAGTTAGTTGCATGATATTTCGATGGCAGACGTAGGCATACGTACATCCGCCCAATAGCTTTCCTGCGCATAAACCTCAGCACTTGCAGGGGTGTTTACGCTTCATCTAAGAGGTGAAAGACGTACCACGAGGCCAAAATTTGGATTTACCTCCCAACCCCTCCTGAGGTTCAGTAAATATCTGGAATGCATGCTCTGTCCTGAACAGTTGACCATATGCTACCGGAGTTTGAGTGAAGAGTACAGCTTTGCTGCTGTTAAGCAGCCGTTGCATTAGTCAATGGCCCCCGAAAGTCGGAAGAGATATGCGGACCTGCCACCTGCTTCGAGCAAGAGAACTTTTGTGGCCTTGGTCTCGGATAGTCTAGACGCTAAAACACAGCCAGCAGTACCTGTAGAGTGGTCAAATCGTATGGCCATGGCCCTACGCAGAATGTGTCTAACCTCCTCCCACAATGATGAAGTCGTAGTCAGCCCGACGATTTGTCGCGTCTGTAGTCGCGACCTAAACGGGATTATGAGTGAAATCGATGTGTAGAAGACTGCCTAGTCTGATACCTTTGCTAGGTCGGTAATGAAGGCCATTCGAATTTTCCGGAAGTGAAAGACCTCAACTGAATCATATACATTACCGAATTAACACGCGCCGTTTGGGACCAAGTCAGGAAATCAACGGAGAATTGGTTTTTCGCCGATCGGAGTTACACGTGCTTCACTGAACGAGGACCGGATCACAGGCTTGCTCTCGTCACGGGCTTGCCACCACTCATTTGACGCTCTCACTGACTCCAGCGGTCGATGATCCTTGCTGCCTTAGGACTTTCATTTCCACGATGACTTCAGAATTCGGAGGGCGAGTTGGTCTGGGATCTGTGCGTTTAACTTTAACTCTTGGTTTCATTCATACTCATCTATTATTGCAGTACATCATTATGTTAACCCCGCTGTTTTTCCTCTCCCTCTTGTTGTACAACGTATCCAATGGTTCTCCATTTATTAATACACAATGTGTTTAGCCTCGTGGTTTGCATGGTTTAAATCTTTCGACGAAAGAAGTATCTGCTGTCGACAATGAGTGACTTGGACTCTACTGTTGGTGTTTTGGAAATCGGAAATGTGGTTGCGACCTATTTTTTCGGGATCATCACACTACAGACTTATTTCTTCTTCCGAGCGTTTCCAAACGATAAACCACTAGTCAAAACTGCGGTGAGCCATCCCTCCATCGATCATCCCGTTGCACTCGACTCAATTAATCTGAAAGGTTGCTGCAGTTTTGTGAGCATCTCTTCACTAGACATCGGAAATATGAAATCTCATCCAACCCCCGTAGTGGCTTCGAGCTCGGACACACCGTCACCAGTCTGCACGCACTTTACATAGTCACAGTGACCGACTTCGGCCAACCACAACTTATCGTCAAACTCCCTGATAGTATTAACATAACACTTCTCTTCGAAGGCATGATCACCATTGTCGTTCAAGTATGTATGACTTTCCATAAGTGATATTTGGATTATAAACATTGATGACGGTGCTTTCTGTAGGGTTTTTTCATAACGCGGGTTCAACGGCTTTCAAAAGTACACAAGATGATCATACGTTTTTTCTGGATCTGTGCGGTACTGCGGTTTGCAGCGAGCGTCGCTCTTACTATCTTCGGGATACAGACTCATAGCACAACAACCTACGTTGCCGACTGGTCGTGGCTTTTGACCACTCTTTTTGCGTTGGGCGCGTTTGTTGATCTCGGTGTCGCTCTGGCTCTCTGTGTGTATCTGTATTCTCAACGCTCCACCTCTATCGCCCGGTCGGTTATCCCCTAAACCCAAAAGCGCGAATTGACGTTCACTGTCCAACAGAACCACAATTCTCTTGGATCGTCTGATTGCGTTCACATTGAGTGAGGCCCATCATTGTCGGATTTGTCCTGGCTTACTCGTTGAACAGCAACTGGTCTATTGACGAGGTTAGTCTATCCCCGCGCCTAATATTGATTGAGATCCATAGGTTCTTTCCACAGCATCATTTCTGTAGTCACTGTGCTTTGTGTGAGCTCCCAACTCAGCTTCTTATGATGATCTGGTGCTCATTTCCAATGCTCAGTACGTTACCATGCCGGACAACTGTACGCCTTGAAATTCTCACTCCTGTAGAGCAAAACACCTTCTGACCTAGATTCTTGCAGCAGTCTGGATTTTGATGTACACATTACTCGCAAAATGTAAGTACATTGGACAGGTTTTCGCCAAAAAAAAAAAAGCTTATACATTATGCCGGATGCTTTTTCTTTCCAGCATATTCTAACTCCATGATGGTTTCGTACGTGTTTCTTCTTGACAAGTTGAATGTTGTATGTATACTGATCTGACTATCAGCCTTAATTCTCGGTCGGCTGTGAATCCATCTTCTGGTTCCAACGTCATAACTCTGGACATCAGTAGATCTGCTAACCAGGCCGTCCATAGCTCCGATAGACGATCTAACTTTAGATCATCTCATACCGAGTCGAACGAGAACGTAAGTACTACTAATGCCCGCTTCATACGCTCCTTTGACGATCTCTAAAAGGCGGGTGTTAGTGTCTCTCGGGTCGTTGAAACTAGAACTGACTCGGATGATAATCTTTACACTACTAAAGGGAGAGATGAAATCTAAGTTGACATTTAGTTCGCAAAAAATAGACGATATTCTGCCCTCTTTCACGAAGGCCTATTTGCAAACGGAAGAAGGAGAGTTTACAAAATGACCCATGATCAGAACAAAACAAATCGTACTCCAAATCATGCATCAAGTTGTACTCGTTACTCTAGAACGGCCGATGTATGAATGGTTCATTCTGCCCCATCACCGTTTTTTCGCAAACAAGAGGGAAAGCTGTTCAGTGACGTTAACAATGCTCTAAACAAGAATTCGAAGTACACAGAAGTGGGTACATGTGAATCGCAAGGGCATACAGCGGCGGTAGAGTTTTGAAACATTCATATCTTGTGGTAGCCTAGTTTAGGGAGCTGAGGAAGATAGAATTACTGGGTGGTCAGATGTTGCAGAAGAGACGAAGAGAGAATATACGTCGGTTGCTTGAAGAGAGTGGCAGACTCCCGGCATGCTGGGCTGCGTTGAGGAAGGGAGTGTCGTCAGGGTATTGGGAATGGGCCAAGATCAAGCAATAATTAATAAGTACCCTAGGACTCTCTCAGCAGCGTTATGGAAAAACCACTGTACGCTACTGACTACTGAGGGATCGAAGGTGGAGCTTGGCATGGACACCTCAAGCAGCCTCCATGAACTCCAAAGCAAGCTGAAAACTACAGACAATGACATCTGGCTCCGAGGTGTCCAGCCTACGTCAAAGGAAGGAGATAATGGCTTCAATGATTGTCCCCATATATCACTGTCAGCCCCCATCGATTACTGATCCACCTGACCTACCTTCTCCTTCTACCAGCTTCCGCCACCTTCCTTGCCCCTGAACTGTACAGTATTACATCACTGTTTCCCACAGACCAGATTATGTATATATAGTCCCTCATCTTGACCTCTCTGTCATTATCTGGGACCAGTTTGCCTCTGCTCTGCTTAGTTGCTCCACCTCGCTGCCTGCTTAGTTGTTCCGCCTCACTGCCTTGCTTAGTCACCCTGCTTTCCTGCCCCGCTAGTCACTCTGCCTCTGCCACTTCGTGACATTATCCTAGGAGCAAAAACCAAGAAGGATGAGGAGGGGATGGGGACGAAGGGGGAGGTGGTGGTCGAGCAGGTAGAAACACCAATTACACAACCCGAGGGACCTCCCCAACAACAACCTTGGAGGTGCCAGATTGAGATCTGACCTTCGTTGATTGCCTCTTCTTTGTTGACCCGTCTAGGGCAGGTGAAGCACAAGCACGCTTATGTTTTGCAGCCAAGACTGCCTTCTGCTCCTGGGCCCATTGAAAATGCTCCAGCTCCTGCCTGTCATGCCTTGTCCCTAAAAAGCTCCCCTCGTTACCTCCTAGACATCCCAGAACCGCGTACCAGCTCCTTCCCACCTCCCAAATAACCTCCCATCCCATGACGGAACCCTAGCCAACCTTCCGACCAATGCTAACCTCCATCTAAAGCGACAGCTCCGCGACTCGTGTATGCCGCCGGACAATCCCCTATCAATTTAGCCTCATGGGTTCCGCACTTCACACCATCCCCATTGAATGCTCGTTTACTATAATGGTTCCTTGTCAACTCCTTTCGCCTATATAAGCACCATCGTAGCATAAACGTCCCTAGCTTGGTATATTTTGAACACACACCCTTTTGCATAGGTCCAGTCCCTGTCCCTTTGTACCTGCTAACCATATGGATTTCTCTTTACTCTCTGTTTCACTACCTCTGTTTCTCTCAACTCTTGTCTATCGTCTCTGTGATCGTCTATACGATCCAATACACGCTTTTACTTCACGTCTAAGCAATCCAAGTGAGTTCCCGAGCTCCCTCGAACAATATTAAAACTCCCCAACGCCTACTGCCTTGGTGAGCTAACTTCCCCAAATATCCTCGAGCTCCCTAGCTATTCTATAAGCTTCAGGACCTCGATCTAGGTAACATCGAAGCTACCCCTCACGTCGAACTACGTACTGCTTCTCCGTTACCACCTCCCACACTTGAGGATGTCCATCCTCAAGCCTAGCCCCCAGGGACCTGCCCTCCCTGGCACATCCCTTCTCGGGAGCTTACACCCTCGAGACCCATTTACACATACGACCTACTCGATCCTATATTGACGTTCTAGCGAGTACAACTCCTACTACACAATATCGTACGGTCCCACACTCTTCCATAACCTCCCTACGCCCTAGGGACCTCCCTGGACCTCCTAGGAACCCCCTCAAGGGTCACCATCTCGTCGTTCCAGCCACTACTAGGTCATTCCCGTCCTCGGTCACGGTTCTCGTAGCTCCCTTCGAGCTCCAGCCTGCTCCTAGCACGCTACAACATAAACCTCCATATACCAAAACCTACCCTAAGACCTATTTTGACCCAGGTCTTACATTATACCAAGCTCTCCCGTCACCGAACGGACTCGTCGCGACAAAATGTCGGCGATGTCAACGGAACGACCTTCTAGTTCCAAGATCGAACCAAAGAAACAAAAGAGCGCATTATCTCGTGGAAACACGACACAAGCTCAAAAGTTGAACCAGGCTGCTAGCTCCACTGTTATCACGGTGGCAGCTGGTCAACGCCTGATGTCCATCCCAGAACAGTCGTTTGGGGATGAAACCGCTAGCAACGTCCGGACCCCCGAGGGACGTCAACCGGCGGTTGAGGAGCCCCCTCCAGTGGAACTTGGGATGGGACCACCACAATGGAGGCATACTTCCATGGGTTATGCCCAACCTGCCAGTAGCCCCATGGGAGGTTTCGCATACTCCCCTACCTGGGGAATGAGAGGACCTCCCCCTGGACCGGTACCGCAGCTAGACATGGAGTCAGCTTCGAACGCGGGTGGAAGAGTCAGCGGCCAAGTAGCTGCTATCGAAAGGATACAAGGGGAGAGTACTGACCCTCTCACAGTACGACGACAGGAGAAACTTCCAGAGAGGAGAGTATCCCCTGCCGTATCCGAACAGTCTCGGACGTCATCCCGGAGGTTACCAACCCCCCCGGTACAGTCCCTTAACCTTCCTCCCCCGAGACGAGGAAGTTCACTCTCCAGTCTCCTGAAGAGCCCAGCTATGAATACGCCCAACTGGGAGTGTACCCATGCAATACACCATAGCAGCACCAACTTCCCAGTACAACCGTTGTCTGAAATGACATTGCGTCTGGAAGACGTCATTCGAATTCAGGAGTGTATCCCGGAGGATGTAGCTATGGTCCTAAGGGAGGTATTGGAGTCGATGGGGGTCGAAATATTGGGAGACGGTCTCGAATTCTCAGACTTACGAGTACAGTTCCTGACAGTGGGAACTCAACTGGAGATAGACCTCCCAGAGAAGGCCCAGCAGTGGCTGATGACCCCCGCGAACCGATCAGATTTTCTCTGGCTGTACAACGTCCTGTTGGACCCAGAGAGGATGTTGGAACTGTTAGAGGCAGAGGCACGTTACGGGCGATCGTTCCGAAACTCGAGGGGAATACTTCCCCTCCTCCCTGTTAAGATTATGTACACCGTGTAACCGTGCCAAAGCCACAAGGTGTCTAAGTACGGAAGACGAGTGGGACAGTAGTGAAGTTATTAACAACACCGCCGTTACGCCGTTAGTCCCCGGAGATCGAGAGTAAAGAAGGGATGAATTGAGGAGCAGCCAAGTCGGAGCGGCGGTATCGCCGGTGACGAGGAGCGAATCAGAGGACGTCTAAGTCCTAAGGTTATAGTAGAGAGTACTCCAAGGCATTGAGCCTGAAGACTTAGAGAAGAGTTAAGTTGAGAAGGGAGATCTAAGTTGATAATTAAACTGAGGAACTACAGTAGCGTACAGGCAGTATTTATATCTACGGAACGGCGCAGCGGTGCGGAGCGCCAGACTAACTACTAGGAGCTATACGAGTAGTACCTGCAGGGTAAAGTAAAAGACAATAAGGAGGGACTAGAACAAAAGGGTATGTGTAGCAAGAAAGAACAATAAGAGTAAGATTACAATAAACGATGGATCTTCGGAGTACCGAGCGGCGGAATGGAGGCCCGAGGCATGGACTTGACACTCCCTCATACCCATGGAAGGGAAAAGGAATTCTGTGGAGAAGCGGGGCTGCGTATATTGTACCGAGCATCTAACTACAGATCAGGAGCTGTACAATTTGAACCTCCCCCTTCGAGGGTTAACATTCCGAACTACCAGGCAATCCAAATACTTCGGAACGCAAACCTAGCGGAAGCAGCAGCTAAAATCGATGAGGAAAGTAACGAGGATGCTAACGCAATCGCTGCAAAAAATCGTAGGCGCAGGAGATACACCACGGCTCACCTCCTGGCCCCAGTGGAGTCAATGCCTGATCAGGATAGTCCCGTCCGGGTCCGTAGCGGACAGACGGTATACACGTACACGCCCATGAGGCATATGCACCAGCTTCTGGTGAGGAGTGAGGAGTCTGAAGCGATGTTGTGTTCGCAGGAGACCCGACACTGGACGTTACTAGCGGAATCAGACACTCTGATGCTGTCGGAGGAACTTTCTGGATTGAATCTAGAAAGAGCTTTGGAATTCCGTTGCAGACTGGTCGCGGATAATCGGGGAACCTCGTATATGGTTCAATGCGAACCAGAGAGTGTAGGGGAGTTCCCTCCAGAGCAATTTGACCAGAAAAGGCAGCTCCATGGATCTGAGGGTCGTTTCCTGGCACAGAAACATTCATCGCCCAGGAATATCGAGGTTCCTGAATTCCTTAACCCCGGTAACGCGGCCACGAGGAGCCCCCAGTTACGCTCGGGGACCTCCCCCACTGTACATGCCTTGGCTCAAAATTCGACTCCTCCCCCCAGAGTTAACCTGCAAATGAAACCGGTAACTCCAGTTTTGACGCAGCGATACCAGTTTGGCGAGGTAAGGATGGATGGCGAGCAACATTCATCCCGGATCTCTGGACATGATCTGACAGCTCGGTTGGTTCCCAACCCTGTACACGTTCCTCCAAGACTGAGCAATCCATCAGTCGTGCCCTATCAAGGGTCGGTATCGATG